GGGTGCTCATCCAGCACCTCGACACCAGCTTCATGGAGGGCGTCCTATAGCACCCGCCACCCGAGGTGTCCCCCCCCCCCACCCCGCCCCAAGACCCCACATGGACCCCACCAGAGGATGAGTGCTGGGGGGGGGGTGGTGGCACCTTCACCGGCCCCTCTGCAGTGAGACATGGGATCAACCAAGCCCCATCCTGACTGTGTCACTGGTCACATCGTGACCAGCCGGAGGGGTTGGCCATGGTGGGGTCACCAGGGGATGGCCATGGTTGTCACCAATGGATTGGCTATGGTGGGGTCACCAATGGTTGGCCATGGTGGGGTCACCAAGGGATGGCCATGGTTGTCACCAATGGATTGGCTATGGTGGGGTCACCAAGGGATGGCCATGGTTGTCACCAATGGATTGGCTATGATGGGGTCACCAATGGTTGGCCATGGTGGGGTCACCAAGGGATGGCCATGGTTGTCACCAATGGATTGGCTATGATGGGGTCACCAATGGTTGGCCATGGTGGGGTCACCAAGGGATGGCCATGGTTGTCACCAATGGATTGGCCATGGTGGGGTCACCAAGGGATGGCCATGGTTGTCACCAATGGATTGGCTATGGTGGGGTCACCAAGGGATGGCCATGGTTGTCACCAATGGATTGGCTATGGTGGGGTCACCAATGGTTGGCCATGGTGGGGTCACCAAGGGATGGCCATGGTTGTCACCAATGGATTGGCTATGGTGGGGTCACCAATGGTTGGCCATGGTGGGGTCACCAAGGGTTGGCCATGGTGGGATCACCGATGGATTGGCCATGGTGGGGTCACCAATGGATTGGCTATTGTGGGAGTCACCAATGGATTGGCCATGGTGGGGTCACCAAGGGGTTGGCCATGGTGCGAGTCACCAAGGGGTTGGCCATGGTGAGATTCACCAAGGGTTGGCCATGGTGGGAGTTCCTAAGGGTTGGCCATGGTGGGGTCACCGATGGATTGGCCATGGTGCAAGTCACCAAGGGTTGGCCATGGTGGAGTCACTAAGGGTTGGCCATGGTGAGGTCACCGATGGATTGGCCATGGTGGGGTCACCAAGGGGTTGGCCATGGTGGGGTCACCAAAGGTTGGCCATGGTGAGGTCACCGATGGATTGGCCATGGTGGGGTCACCAAGGGGTTGGCCATGGTGGGGTCACCAAGGGATGGCCGTGGTGGGGTCACCAAGGGGTTGGCCATGGTGGTCACCAAGGGTGTGGCTGTGGTGAGGTCACCAAGGGTTGGCCATGGTGGGGTCACCAATGGATTGGCCATGGTGGTGTCACCAAGGGATGGCCGTGGTGGAGTCACCAAGGGGTTGACTGTGGTGGGGTCACCAATGGTTGGCCATGGTGGGGTCACCAAGGGATGGCAGCACCCATTGGACATCTGAGGAGCATCCCATGGGCGACGCTTCCACCGTCCTGGGTGGTCATGGGTGGCAGCGAGGACCTGGTGGCATCTGAGCAGGGTTGGGGTCCATCCACATCAATGTTGGGGTTGGGCGGCTGGTTGAGAGCAGAGCTGTGGGGCAGCCGTGGGGCCGGGAGGACCTCCAGGTGCTGAGCTGAGCCCATGGAGAAGGTGGCACCAGGGGACCAGAGGGACCAGGAGAGGCCCAGCCCATAGGGAAGGAGACCATTGGCACAACTGGAGCTGGGTGCACCCAAGGGTGGCGCTGGGGGGGTCCCTTTGGGTGCTGGGGTCCCTTTGGGGGGCTCATTGAGGCCAGGTGCCCACCTTTGGGTGCTGGAGGAGCTGGTGGCTAGGTCACTGCCTGCACACATCATGGTGACCATCCCCACACCGGACCCATCTCACCTCATGTTGGCACCCAAAGGACCTGTTTGAGCACCCACTGTGTCTGCTGGACCCATCATCTGCTCCTGGTCTTGAAACACCCATCCTGACCCCCATCATCTCCTCCTGCTTCTCCTGTACCAATCTTGGTGCCCATCATCACCTCCTGCTCCTGCTGGACCCACTTTGGCACCCGTCATCTCACCCTGCTTCTCCTGGACCTGTTTTGGTGCCCATCATCACCTCCTGCTCCTGCTGGACCCATCTTGGCACCCATCATCTCACCCTGCTTCTCCTGGACCTGTTTTGGTGCCCATCATCTCCTCCTGGTCCTGCCCAACTCATTGTGGTGCCCATCATCTCTGCTTGACCCTGCTGGGCCCATCTTGGTGCCCATCCTCTCTGCTTGACCCTGCTGGACCCATCTTGGTGCCCATCATCTCCTCCTGCTCCTGCCCAACTCATTGTGGTGCCCATCATCTCTGCTTGACAATGCTGGACCCATCTTGGTGCCCATCATCTCTGCTTGACCCTGCTGGACCCATCTTGGTGCCCATCATCTCCCCATGCTCCTGCTGGACACATCTCAGCATCTGTCACATCCTTCTGGTCCTGCTGGAACCTTCTTGGCACCCACCACATCCTGGTTCTCCTGGAGCCATCTGGGTGCCCATCACCTCCGCTTGGCCCTGCCCAAGCCATCTTGGTACCCACCATCCCCTCCTGGACCTGTCTTGGTGCCCATCATCTTCTCCTGTTTCTCTTGGACTTGTCTTGGCATCCATCATCTCCTTCTGCCCTTGATGGACCTTCCCTGGTGCCCATCTCTGCCTTACTGGACACATCTTGGTATTTGTCATGTCCTGCTGGACCCTTCTTGGAGCCCATCATCTCCTCCTGGTCCTGCCCAGCTCATCTTGGAGCCCATCATCTCCTCCTGGTCCTGCCCAGCTCATCTTGGAGCCCATCATCTCCTCCTGGTCTTGCCCAGCTCATCTTGGAGCCCATCATCTCCTCCTGGTCCTGCCCAGCTCACCTTGGAGCCCATCATCTCCTCCTGGTCCTGCCCAGCTCATCTTGGAGCCCATCATCTCCTCCTGGTCCTGCCAGCCCCATCTTGGAGCCCATCATCTCCTCCTGGTCCTGCCAGCCCCATCTTGGAGCCCATCATCTCCTCCTGGTCCTGCCAGCCCCATCTTGGAGCCCATCATCTCCTCCTGGTCCTGCCAGCCCCATCTTGGAGCCCATCATCTCCTCCTGGTCCTGCCAGCCCCATCTTGGCACCCATCATCTCCTCCTGGTCCTGCCAGCCCCATCTTGGAGCCCATCATCTCCTCCTGGTCCTGCCCAGCTCATCTTGGCACCCATCATCTCCTCCTGGTCCTGCTAGCCCCATCTTGGAGCCCATCATCTCCTCCTGGTCCTGCCCAGCTCATCTTGGAGCCCATCATGTCCTCCTGGTCCTGCCCAGCTCATCTTGGAGCCCATCATCTCCTCCTGGTCCTGCCCAGCTCATCTTGGAGCCCATCATCTCCTCCTGGTCCTGCCCAGCTCATCTTGGAGCCCATCATCTCCTCCTGGTCCTGCCAGCCCCATCTTGGCACCCATCATCTCCTCCTGGTCCTGCCAGCCCCATCTTGGAGCCCATCATCTCCTCCTGGTCCTGCCCAGCTCATCTTGGCACCCATCATCTCCTCCTGGTCCTGCTAGCCCCATCTTGGAGCCCATCATCTCCTCCTGGTCCTGCCCAGCTCATCTTGGCACCCATCATCTCCTCCTGGTCTTGCCCAGCTCATCTTGGAGCCCATCATCTCCTCCTGGTCCTGCCCAGCTCATCTTGGAGCCCATCATCTCCTCCTGGTCCTGCCCAGCTCATCTTGGAGTCCATCATCTCCTTCTGGTCCTGCCCAACCCATCTTGGCACCCATCATCTCTGCTTGGTCCTCCTGCGCTCATCTTGGCATCCGTCATCTGCTCCTGCTGGACCTCTCTTGGTACCCATCATCTCTACCTTACCCTACTGGACCCATCTTGGAGCCCATCATCTCCTCCTGGACCTGCATAAACCATCTTGGTGCCCATCATCTGCTGGACCCATCTTGGAGCCCATCATCTCCTCCTGCTTCTGGCCAGCTCATTTTGGCACCCATCATCTGCTTGGCCCTGATGGACACATTTTGACACCCATCATCTCCTGTTGGACCCACCTTGGTGCCCATCATCTCTACCCTACTGGACCCATCTTGGCATGTTGTGTCCTACTGGTCCTCCTGGACCCATCTTGGTGCCCATCATCTCTGCTTTACCCTACTGGACCCATCTTGGCATGCCATGTCTACTGGTCCTCCTGGACCCATCTTGGGGCCCATCATCTCCTCCTGGTCCTGCATAAACCATCTTGGTGCCCATCATCTGCTTGGCCCTGCTGGACCCACGTTGACACCCACCACCTTCTGCTCCTTCTGCACCCACCTTGGCACCCATCACCTTCCGCACCTTCTGGACCCACCTTGGCACTCATCATCTCCTCCTGCTCCTTCTGCACCCACTTTGGCACCCATCATCTCCTGCTCCTTCTGCACCCACTTTGGCACCCATCATCTCCTCCTGCTCCTTCTGGACCCACCTTGGCACCCATCATCTCCTCCTACTCCTTCTGCACCCACTTTGGCACCCATCATCTCCTGCTCCTTCTGCACCCACTTTGGCACCCATCATCTCCTCCTGCTCCTTCTGGACCCACCTTGGCACCCATCATCTCCTCCTGCTCCTTCTGGACCCACCTTGGCACCCATCATCTCCTGCTCCTTTTGCACCCACCTTGGCACCCATCATCTCCTTCTGGACCCATCCTTGCAGGCACCATCCCCTGCCCCTCCAGGACCCATCTTGGCACCCACCATCTCTAGGACCCCCCCAGCCCCCTCATCCACCACCCCCTTCCCATTCCTTCCCCATGGCTGCCCCCCAAGTGCCTTCAGCTCCACCTGGGGCGAAGCAGAACCAAGGAGGGCACCCAATAGGTGGTGGTAGTCGCACCCAATGGGTCTGAGCAGCACCCAGTGGATTTAAGGAGCACCAAATGGATGGTGGTTGGCACCCAGTGGAGGGTGAGGAGCACCCAATGACTTGAGGAGCATCCAGTGGGTCTGAGGAGCACCCAATGAGTTGAGCATCCAATGGGTCTGAAGAGCACCCAATGAGTTGAGGAGCATCCAGTGGGTCTGAGGAGCACCCAATGAGTTGAAGAGCACCCAATGAGTTGAGGAGCACCCAACGGGTTGAGGAGCACCCAGTGAGTTTGAGGAGCACCCAGTGAGTTGAAGAGCACCCAGTGGGTCTGCGGAACACCCAATGAGTTTGAGGAGCACCCAATGAGTTTGAGGAGCACCCAATGAGTTGAGGAGCACCCAATGGGTTGAGGAGCACCCAATGGGTTGAGGAGCACCCAGTGAGTTGAGGAGCACCCAGTGGGTTTGAGCAGCACCCAGTGGGTTTGAGCTGCACCCAATGAGTTGTGGAGCACCCAGTGGGTTTGAGGAGCACGCAATGAGTTGAGGAGCACCCAATGGGTTTGAGCAGCACCCAACAAGTTTGAGGAGCACCCAACCAGTTTGAGGAGCACCCAATGAGTTGAGGAGCACCCAATGGGTTTGAGCAGCACCCAACAAGTTTGAGGAGCACCCAACCAGTTTGAGGAGCACCCAATGAGTTGAGGAGCACCCAGTGGGTCTGAGGAGCACCCAATGAGTTGAGGAGCACCCAATGGGTTGAGGAGCACCCAATGGGTCTGAGGAGCACCCAATGGGTCTGAGGAGTACCCAATGAGTTGAGGAGCACCCAATGGATTGAGGAGCACCCAGTGGGTCTGAGGAGCACCCAATGAGTTGAGGAGCACCCAATGGATTGAGGAGCACCCAGTGGGTCTGAGGAGCACCCAATGAGTTGAGGAGCACCCAATGAGTTTGAGCAGCACCCAGTGGCTTCACTCAGCACCCAACGGGTGCCAAGGGGCCACCCATCAGCATCTAGAGCCCTGTTAAGAGACCCATTCCTCACCCACTTCACTTTGAAGCCAGATGCTGGTCCCATAGAGGGGGTGCCCCATGGGTGACATGGGGGGTGCCCCATAGTGGGGGAGGGGGGGGCTTTACCCCACGCTACCTCCCAGCTCCACTCACTGCCAGGCACCTGGGGGGGGGGGGGGGGAGGGGTCCCTTTTCCCCTCCCCCCCCCGCCCCCATTAATTAATTAAATTAATTAATTTCTCCTTCCGTTGGGGCCTTTTTTTTTTGGTTTTTTTTTGGTTTTTTTCGGTCGCTTTTTGCCCATTTTCCCCTCTTTTCGCCCCGTTTTCGTTGGTGGTTTTTTAGGGTTTCTTATCCTTATTTATTATGAGGAATTCTTGTTATTATTAAAAGGCAGAAGCTGATGTACAAATCATTAATAATTAATCATTAATAAAGTCGATCACGTGGGACACGAGCCCCTCCCCCCCCCGTGGGGTTGGGGGGGAGGGGGGGCCCCTCCCCCCCCCCGGGTCCTGTCTCTGTACCCGGATGTGAATAAAGCTTCGGCTGGAGGCGGCTGCGGGAGCTTTCACTGGGGTCTATAGGGGGGTCTATGGGGGGTATGGGGTCTATAGGGGTGCATGGGGGTCTATAGGGGGTATGGGGTCTATAGGGGTACATGGGGGTCTATAGGGGGTATGGGGTCTATAGGGGTACATGGGGGTCTATAGGGGGGTCTATGGGGGGTATGGGGTCTATAGGGGTACATGGGGGTCTATAGGGGGTATGGGGTCTATAGGGGTACATGGGGGTCTATAGGGGTACATGGGGGTCTATAGGGGGGTCTATAGGGGGTATGGGGTCTATAGGGGTACATGGGGGTCTATAGGGGGTATGGGGGTCTATAGGGGTACATGGGGGTCTATAGATGTGTCTATAGGGGGTATGGGGTCTATAGGGGTACATGGGGGTCTATAGGGGTGTCTATAGGGGGTATGAGGTTTACAGGGGTACATCGGGGTCTATGGGGGTATGGGGTCTATAGGGGTGCATGGGGGTCTATAGGGGGGTCTATAGGGGTGCATGGGGGTCTATGGGGGTATGGGGTCTATAGGGGTACATGGGGATCTATAGAGGTGTCTATAGGGGGTATGGGGTCTATAGGGGTACATGGGGGTCTATAGGGGTGTCTATAGGGGGTATGAGGTTTACAGGGGTACATCGGGGTCTATGGGGGTATGGGGTCTATAGGGGTGCATGGGGGTCTATAGGGGGGTCTATAGGGGGTATGGGGTCTATGGGGGTACATGGGGATCTATAGAGGTGTCTATAGGGGGTATGGGGTCTATAGGGGTACATGGGGGTCTATAGGGGTGTCTATAGGGGGTATGAGGTTTACAGGGGTACATCGGGGTCTATGGGGGTATGGGGTCTATAGGGGTGCATGGGGGTCTATAGGGGGGTCTATAGGGGTGCATGGGGGTCTATGGGGGTATGGGGTCTATAGGGGTACATGGGGATCTATAGAGGTGTCTATAGGGGGTATGGGGTCTATAGGGGTACATGGGGGTCTATAGGGGTGTCTATAGGGGGTATGAGGTTTACAGGGGTACATCGGGGTCTATGGGGGTATGGGGTCTATAGGGGTGCATGGGGGTCTATAGGGGGGTCTATAGGGGTGCATGGGGGTCTATGGGGGTATGGGGTCTATAGGGGTACATGGGGGTCTATAGGGGTTATGGGGTCTATAGGGGTACATGGGGGTCTATAGGGGGTATGGGGTCTATAGGGGTACATGGGGGTCTATAGGGGGTATGGGGTCTATAGGGGTACATGGGGGTCTATAGGTGTGCATATAAGGGGTATGGGGTCTATAGGGGTACATGGGGGTCTATAGCGGGTATGGGGTCTATAGGGGTACATGGGGGTCTATAGGGGTACATGGGGGTCTATAGGGGTATAGGGTCTATAGAGGTATATGGGGGTCTATAGTGGGTATGGGGTCTATAGGGGTACATGGGGGTCTATAGTGGGGTCTATAGGGGGTATGGGGCCTATAGGGGTACATAGGGGTCTTATGGGTCTGTGGGTCTCTATAGGTGGTGTCTATAGAAGTTATGGGGTCTATAGGGGTACATGGGGGGTCTATAGGGGGAATGGGGTCTATACAGATATAGGGGGGTCTATAGGGGTGTCTATAAGGCGTATGGGGCCTATAGAGGTACATGGGGGTTTATAGGGGTGCCTGTAAGGGGTATGGGGTCTATAGGGGTACGGGTTCTATAGGGGGTACAGGGCCTATAGGGGTACATGGGGGTCTATAGGCGTGTCTATAAGGGGTATGGGGTCTCTAGGGGTACATGGGGGTCTACACATGTGTCTATAGTGGGTATGGGATCTATAGGGGTACATAGATGTCTATAGGGATGTCTATAGTGGGTATGGGGTCTAGAGGGGTACATGAGTGTCTATAGGGGTGTCCATAGGGGGTCTGGGGCCTATAGGGGTACACAGGTGTCTACAGGGGTGTCTACAGGGGGTCTGGGGCCTATAGGGGTACAGGGGTGTCTATAGGGGTGTCTATAGGGGGTCTGGGGCCTATAGGGGTACACGGGTGTCTATAGGGGTGTCTATAGGGGGTCTGGGGCCTATAGGGGTACACAGGTGTCTATAGGGGTGTCTATAGGGGGTCTGGGGCCTATAGGGGTACACAGGTGTCTATAGGGGTGTCTATAGGGGGTCTGGGGCCTATAGGGGTACACAGGTGTCTATAGGGGTGTCTATAGGGGGTCTGGGGCCCATAGGGGTACACGGGTGTCTATAGGGGTGTCTATAGGGGATCTGGGGCCTATAGGGGTACACGGGTGTCTATAGGGGTGTCTATAGGGGGTATGGGGCCTATAGGGGTACACGGGTGTCTATAGGGGTGTCTGTAGGGGGTCTGGGGCCTATAGGGGTACATGGGGGTCTATAGGAGCAGGTGAGTGTCTATAATGGGGATGGGCCTCTGTAGGGTACATGAGCATATATAAGGGGTGCATGGGTGTCTCTAGGGAGAATGGGTGTCTATAGGGATGTCTATAGGAGTGCATGGGAGTCTATATGGGGTATGGGTGTATATATAAGGGTATATGGTGTCTACAGGACCAGGTGGGTTGTCTATAGGACACCACATGGGTGTCTATAGGGGTGCCTGTGTGTCTATAGGGTTACAGGGGTGTCTATAGGTGTACATGGGTGTCTATAGGGCACATGGGTGTCTATAGGGTTACACGTGTGTCTATAGCGTGTATGGGCGTCTATGGGGGTGGATGGTTGTGCCTATAGGGTCTCTATGGGGTCCCTATGAGGTCTCTATGCGTCTCTATGGGGTCTCTATGGCGTCTCTATGGGGTCTCTATGGGGTCTCTATGGAGTCTCTATAGGGTTCCTATGGGGTCTCTATAGGGTCTCTATGGGGTCTCTATGGGGTCTCTATGGGGTCCCTATGGGGTCTCTATGGGGTCGCTATAGGGTCTCTAGGGAGTCTCTATAGGGTCCCTATGGGGTCCCTATGGGGTCTCTATAGGGTCTCTATGGGGTCTCTACGGCGTCTCTATGGGGTCTCTATAGGGTCTCTATAGGGTTCCTATGGGGTCTCTATGGGGTCTCTATAGGGTCTCTATGGCGTCTCTATAGGGTCTCTATGGGGTCTCTATGGGGTCTCTATAGGGTCTCTATGGGGTCTCTATAGGGTCTCTATGGCGTCTCTATAGGGTCTCTATGGGGTCTCTATGGGGTCTCTATGGGGTCTCTATGGGATCTCTATGGGATCTCTATGAGGTCTCTATGGGGTCTCTATGGGGTCACTACGGGGTCTCTATGGGGTCTCTATGGGGTCTGTATGGGGTCCCTGTGGGTCTCTATGGGGTCTGTATTGGTCTCTATGGGGTTTCTAGGGAGTCTCTATGGGTCTCTATGGGTCTGTATGGGGTCTCTATGGGCTCCCTATGAGGTCTCTATGCGTCTCTATGGGGTCTCTATAAGGTCTCTATGGGGTCTCTATGGGGTCTCTAGGGAGTCTCTATAGGGTTTCTATGGGGTCTGTATGGGGTCTCTATGGGTCTCTATGGGGTCTCTATTGGTCTCTATGGGTCTCTATGGGGTCTCTATGAGATCTCTATGGGTCTCTATGGGTCTCTATGGGGTCTCTATGGGTCTCTATAGGGTCTCTATGGGGTCTCTATGGGTCTCTATGGGGTCTCTATGGGTCTCTATGGGGTCTCTATGGGGTCCCTATGGGTCTCTATGGGGTCTCTATGGGGTCTCTATGGGTCTCTATGGGGTCTCTATGGGGTCTCTATGGGGTCTCTATAGGGTCTCTATGGGGTCCCTATGGGGTCTCTATGGGGTCGCTATAGGGTCTCTAGGGAGTCTCTATAGGGTCCCTATGGGGTCCCTATGGGGTCTCTATAGGGTCTCTATGGGGTCTCTACGGCGTCTCTATGGGGTCTCTATAGGGTCTCTATAGGGTTCCTATGGGGTCTCTATGGGGTCTCTATAGGGTCTCTATGGCGTCTCTATAGGGTCTCTATGGGGTCTCTATGGGGTCTCTATAGGGTCTCTATGGGGTCTCTATAGGGTCTCTATGGCGTCTCTATAGGGTCTCTATGGGGTCTCTATGGGGTCTCTATAGGGTCTCTATGGGGTCTCTATGGGATCTCTATGGGATCTCTATGAGGTCTCTATGGGGTCTCTATGGGGTCACTACGGGGTCTCTATGGGGTCTCTATGGGTCTCTATGGGGTCTGTATGGGGTCTCTGTGGGTCTCTATGGGGTCTGTATTGGTCTCTATGGGGTTTCTAGGGAGGCTCTATGGGTCTCTATGGGTCTGTATGGGGTCTCTATGGGGTCCCTATGGGTCTCTATGCGTCTCTATGGGGTCTCTATAAGGTCTCTATGGGGTCTCTATGGGGTCTCTAGGGAGTCTCTATAGGGTTTCTATGGGGTCTCTATGGGTCTCTATGGGGTCTCTATTGGTCTCTATGGGTCTCTATGGGGTCTC